AAGACTCACATTATATTATCAATTAATTGAGTTCCAATCTAATCAAGATAATTCTCAAAATAATGGTACTCAAGATCCATATCATAGCTCCAGTTAACAATTTTATTTGTCACCATGTTCTTCTACCGGTAGACATGCACTAACTCACATTCAGTTATACGTGTCATAAGTTGTCTGCACTGATATTTCCAAGAGCATAAAATTGGTATCGGTTGTAATTAACCACTAAAACCAAATCCATCTCCACGTAATCTTTATATAATCTTGTCAACTGGAAGTTTTAGTCCAAAATCTAGCCCCCAAATATCAGAATCGACCACCTGCCCTTTGCCCAAGTTGACAAAAAACCTTCCAAAAGCCAATCACCAATGTTATCTTAAAACACTCCTCATCTACCTATACTTTTAGTAGCATTGATCCGAGAACCGTCGACATTAAGCTTCACCCTCCTTGCAGTGGAGTGGGTGGATCCCAAGCCAAAGACACTTGCATCCTAGGAACATTAGAGCACACACAACGAGAGGCGTCGTACCATTCCTCTGCAGTGGTAATATATACTCGAAGATGACTAACGTAGTACTTCACGAGAAGTTTCTTGCATAGTCATTCGACTATTGTAAGGTAAACTTGAGTTTTTTAACGATTCGAATGGAACTACGGTAGTATGTAGTTAGGGAATTTCAAAGTGTTCTTCAAGGATATTGTAACCACGAATTTTCTGCGGCAAATGAGATAAGAACACATGCACAAAGTAAATGTTTGTATTCCTCTGCAGCCTTGACAACAATAGTTTTGGGAGATTGCGCTTGTGAAGTTGGCTTCAAAGAGTTGTTTATCCCCCATTTCCACGTATATGAACAGTTTGAAAACAAAAACGCTACTCCACCCAATTTATTCAGGCCCCAATAACTTGGATTTCAAATTAACCATCGGCTAAGCTGTAACACCAAATTAAATGAGACTTGTACCTATGTGGGCTTCTCATCAATTCTCAAATACTCTTTGCTGTTGGGCAGTCCCTAAATAATGAGTAAAAAAAAGAGGAGGAGATTTGAGTAGTGACTAGCAAAGTAGCAATGACAGCTCACCCAAGTCACTCACTAAATACAGGAGAGGATACTCGACGGATCCTTTTGTGAGGATTTCCAACAGATTCTCTTTACGAAGATCCTGAAAATTATTTAATTATATTCATTTATCGTACATTGTGTGCAATTTTTATCAGATACTGTTTATATTCAATTTTAAATAAAAAAATTTACAATAATTTTTAATCGTACGATATATGATGAATAGATATAATTGGAAAATCTCAGATTCTTATAAAAAGGATCTGACGATGATCCTTCTTGGTAAACACAGAAGTTATAAAATCTCTGTTGGATCACATGAACGAGCTAAAAACCGAAATTTTCGAGATTACATAATCAATGAAGAACATACATTGATGAGTTTAACGGCTAAACATGCGTCGAAGAATTAGTACAAAATTCTCGCACATATTAACTTCTTGGGATTAAGTTGGCTTGCAATGGATTCTTCATCACCATAGTAAACTCCTGCTTCTCAGACAGGTCCACGTCATCTCCGTCCACAGCTCTCCACTCGAATTTCCACACCAAATTCGCCACAAAGTACTCCAGGTGAAGCACCGCCAATCCCGACCCAGGACACGACCTCCTCCCTGCCCCAAACGGCATCATCTTAATCTCCTTGCTCCCTGTCAAATCGAACCCTTCTTCTTCTCCGCCGCTGCCCAAGAACCTCTCCGGCTTGAACGCCATGGGGTCCTCCCACACTTGAGGGTCCCAGCCAATATCCGCCACCATGAAATTAACACTCCCCTTCTCGGGCACCACGTGTCCCCCCAAAACCACGTCATGGGTCACCGCGTGCGGCAGCACAAAGTGCCCCGGCGGGTGGCGCCTCAGCCCCTCCAAGATCACAGCTTTCAGATACGGCAGCTTATGCAGGACCTCCTCCCGCACTTCTTCTTCCGTTTCTCCCATAACCCCTTTAATCTCCGCAAACAGCTTATCCTGAACTTGTGGGTACTTGACTACGTTGGCCATGATCCACTGCAGTGCGGTGGAAGTCGTGTCGGTTCCGGCGTTCAGAAACTCTGAGCAGAGGCTGACCATTTCTCCCTCCGAAAGCTTCCGCTTTTCGTTGCCGTCGGGAAGCTCTAGGTCCAGCAGCGTATCTGTATACGACAACACAAATTCATCGTCTTTGTTGTCGTTTTTGCTGCCCTGTTTTGCCCTGTTTTGTCGTGCTCGAATCAGAGGGACGAGCACTTCTCGTTGTTCCTCGAGGATTTTGAAGAATTGCCGCCACCGATTTTTTAAGAGAATCTTGGTCAATTTCGGCTTGAAATTGAGGATATTGAACCGCCCGAAACTCAAAAGTTGTTGGCGCTGAACGCGCTCGATTTCTTTGATTTGCTCTTCGTTCAATTTGTCGCCGAAGCACATCAGAACCAGGAGGCAGAACATGGCGTATTGGAAGTGGTCGACCACCCTGACACCGCCGCCGCCGCCGTATTCGGACTTGGATTGAGACTCGGTTTTGAGGCGGTTGACGAGGATGTCGAGAACCCATTTGCGGGCGTTGCCATAGGATTTGACGCGGGAAGGGTGGAGGATTTCCGAGGTGAGGTTGCGGCGGAGGAGGCGCCAAGTGGGGCCGTATCTGGCGGAGCTGATGTTGTGCTGTTTGCTGCTTACGTACTCGTTGGTGGCCAAGGCCTGGGGGCGGTCGGCGAACACGGCGCCGTTCTGGATTAAGGCTTGGTGGGCGAGGGAGCGGTCGCCGATGAAGACGGCGGAGCGGGAGCCGAAGCGGAGGGAGATGATGGGCCCGTGTTTGGCCTGTAGTTTGCGGATGATAGGTTCGAGCTCCGAGAAGGATTTCAGGAGGAATAACAAAGTTCCGATGATGGGGATGTAGCGGGGCCCGGGAGGGGGCTTGGGTTTGGAGATGGAAGTGGGTAGGAATAGAGAAAGAAAGGCTTTGAGGAGGAAGGAGACGCAGACGGCGACGAGGATAAGGAACCAGGTTTCCATGGTGATGAATCGGCGGCAATCAGACGAAGGGCAAATGCGTTGGCTTAATAAATTTTTATTTTTCGTATTTTATAGATGTATAATGCGTGGTGGTCCTCGTGGGAAAGGGATTCTCTCTCTATCCATTCCGTCAACTGAGCAAAATATTTGAACTCTTAAAATTTAATCCAAGGATTGAAAATAGAAACCTCGTTAAAAATTGTAGTAATTTTAATTGTTAGACTAAATTTTAAATGTTTAGGTTTTGGAAATTGTTATTAACATTTTAAAATTTTAATTCTATACTCTAAACTTTCTATATTAAAAAAGAAAAATATATTTATGAGAAGTATAGAATGAAATTTTGAAATACCAGTAATACTTTTCTAAATTTTAAACCCAATTAGCTCAGGTAAAAGGAATCAGGAGATAATCCCTTTCCGTGCACCTTGTGGAGCAAGAAAAATATCTTACTTTGATTTTTCACCTCGTGGAGCAAGAAAAATATCTACTTTGATTTTTCAGAAATTTTGGAGTGATGTATTTGCTGACGAACGTTGACATTGACGTCGAAATGTACTTATGGACCGGGCCATCACATATTGTTTTGTCAAAGAGTAATGTCATAGAGATTAAATTTGTCAAATAAATTTTTGAAAACAAAAACATAGAAGTTGTTAATTAGTTTATTACTTAAATATTGATAAACATACTTATTTATATTGATGACACATTATTTAGTTTACAAATTTTGTTTTCCAATTTAATCTCTCTAACATTATCCTCTGTTAAGAAGCTAAAATGCATGGCATTGTGTAATTTACTATACATCGAACTTTAACGATACGTGCCGTTTATTTTGTATGTCTTGATTCATACATCATTCTTGCAAAATTCAATTTAATCTGAAACCACTTGCCTATTTAATTATCACATTGAAATTTCATTGTTTCTTATTGACAAAAGTATTCGTCAGTTTATTTGAACTCAATTAGATGTCAAAATATTTTCGATTTGGCTAATATTTTGCAAGGATGATCTAAGAGGTGCAACTTGAAAAATAAACCAGTTCAGATTGTTAAACTTTGATATAATGTAGGTTCCACAACTAATCCCATTTAAAAAAAAAATAGAAATCCTTTCTCTTAAAAACCTCATCCGCATTAATGTCCTGATGCTATTTGAATTTAACAGGCGTGGGACTTGGTATTAGAGGACAACATGACAATTGGGCGTCTAACCCATCAAACATGCTTTGTTTCCTTATTCCTGAAAAAGATTTCCATCACGCAAGAACAGAATGACATTTCAACAGAAACTAAGTTTTACATTTAAATTAAACTTTACCATGTTCCCTAAAATCATTGGAAATTAACACCGCATCAAATGATAGTTCATCTAAAGGCGTTAGATATTATGTCTCTCTACTTAAAGCAAATAAAATTGTGAGTAGAGATACTCCCAAATCTTGTAATAATCCTCACTAAAGGGCCTTTGATCACAATTTGTTGGGTGCCGGAACCACCACCTACAAAAGATCAAATTATAAATACGCTGGTTAGACTTTCCATTTGCAAAAATGGAACTGTTGCACCAAAAATTTGGGTGCTAATACTATTAGCATATCTGTATCTGACCAGCCTTATGGCTTGAATCCCCAATTTTGCGTAATGTCACATATTCACCACATCTCAGCGCCCCACCAACAAATTCAACTTGTCAAAGATATCAGATCGAGATCGTTGTAGCTTAACCTTATCTCTGGGGCTCAAAACATGAAGTTGAAAACTTGAGATTACTTCAGATGATGAATTTTGGGGATGAAACATAGTCTGACAAATTTTTATTTATTTATTTATATTTATTTATCGTACATTGTGTGATCAATTTTTATCAGATACTGTTTATATTCAATTTTAAATAAAAAAATTTACAATAATTTTTATCCGCACAGTCTACGATGAATAGATATAATTGGAAAATCTCAGGATTCCCATAAAGAAGGTTCGACGAAGATCCTTCTTGGTAAATACAGAAGTTATAAAATCTCTGTTGGATCACATGAACGAGCTAAAAGCCCAAATTTTCGAGATTACATAATCAATGAAGAACATACATTGATGAGTTTAACGGCTAAACATGCGTCGAAGAGTTAGTACAAAATTCTCGCACATATTAACTTCTTGGGATTAAGTTGGCTTGCAATGGATTCTTCATCACCATAGTAAACTCCTGCTTCTCAGACAGGTCCACGTCATCTCCGTCCACAGCTCTCCACTCGAATTTCCACACCAAATTCGCCACAAAGTACTCCAGGTGAAGCACCGCCAATCCCGACCCAGGACACGACCTCCTCCCTGCCCCAAACGGCATCATCTTAATCTCCTTGCTCCCTGTCAAATCGAACCCTTCTTCTTCTCCGCCGCTGCCCAAGAACCTCTCCGGCTTGAACGCCATGGGGTCCTCCCACACTTGCGGGTCCCAGCCAATATCTGCCACCATGAAATTAACACTCCCGTTCCTGGGCACCACGTGTCCCCCCAAAACCACGTCATGGGTCACCGCGTGCGGCAGCACAAAGTGCCCCGGCGGGTGGCGCCTCAGCCCCTCCAAGATCACAGCTTTCAGATACGGCAGCTTATGCAGGACCTCCTCCCGCACTTCTTCTTCCGTTTCTCCCATAACCCCTTTAATCTCCTCAAACAGCTTATCCTGAACTTGTGGGTACTTGACTACGTTGGCCATGATCCACTGCAGTGCGGTGGAAGTCGTGTCGGTTCCGGCGTTCAGAAACTCTGAGCAGAGGCTGACCATTTCTCCCTCCGAAAGCTTCCGCTTTTCGTTGCCGTCGGGAAGCTCTAGGTCCAGCAGCGTATCTGTATACGACAACACAAATTCATCGTCTTTGTTGTCGTTTTTGCTGCCCTGTTTTGCCCTGTTTTGTCGTGCTCGAATCAGAGGGACGAGCACTTCTCGTTGTTCCTCGAGGATTTCGAAGAATTGCCGCCACCGATTTTTTAAGAGAATCTTGGTCAATTTCGGCTTGAAATTGAGGATATTGAACCGCCCGAAACTCAAAAGTTGTTGGCGCTGAACGCGCTCGATTTCTTTGATTTGCTCTTCGTTCAATTTGTCGCCGAAGCACATCAGAACCAGCAGGCAGAACATGGCGTATTGGAAGTGGTCGACCACCCTGACACCGCCGCCGCCGCCGCATTCGGACTGGGATTGAGACTCGGTTTTGAGGCGGTTGACGAGGATGTCGAGAACCCATTTGCGGGCGTTGCCATAGGATTTGACGCGGGAAGGGTGGAGGATTTCCGAGGTGAGGTTGCGGCGGAGGAGGCGCCAAGTGGGACCGTATCCGGCGGAGCTGATGTTGTGCTGTTTGCTGCTGACGTACTCGTTGGTGGCCAAGGCCTGGGGGCGGTCGGCGAACACGGCGCCGTTCTGGATTAAGGCTTGGTGGGCGAGGGAGCGGTCGCCGATGAAGACGGCGGAGTGGGAGCCGAAGCGGAGGGAGATGATGGGCCCGTGTTTGGCCTGTAGTTTGCGGATGATAGGCTCGAGCTCTGAGACGGATTTCAGGAGGAATAACACATTTCCGATGATGGGGATGTAGCGGGGCCCGGGAGGGGGCTTGGGTTTGGAGATGGAAGTGGGTAGGAATAGAGAAAGAAGGGCTTTGAGGAGGAAGGAGACGCAGAGGGCGACGAGGATAAGGAACCAGGTTTCCATGGTGATGAATCGGAGGCAATCAGACGAAGGGCAAATGCGTTTGCTTGATAAATTATTATTTTTCGTATTTTATAGACGAAGGTATCTAGAGATAATCGCTTTCCGTGCACCTTGTGGAGCAAGAAAAGTATCTTTCTTTGATTTTTCAGAAATTTTGGAGAGATGTGTTTGCTGACGAACGTTGACATTGACGTCGAAATGTAGTCATGGGTCGGGCCATCACATATTGTTTTGTTAAAGAGTAATGTCATGGAGATTAAATTTGTTAAATAAATTTTTGAAAACAAAAATATATAAGTTGTTAATTAGTTTATTACTTAAACGTTGATAAAAGTATTTATTTATATTGATGACACATTATTTAGTTTACAAATTTTATTTTCTAATTTAATCTCCCTAACATTATCATCCGTTAAAAAGCTAAAATGCATGGCATTGTGTAATTTACTTGCCAGGTTTGCGGCATTATCCAAATTCAACTGCATATTGTCACGTAAAAAAGTTGAAATGTCTAACTGTGATTCGCTTGTGATGTTTTGTTTTCGTAGGTACATGTCCTTTAAGAGATGGATCATCATTTTTTTTTTTTTTTAAGAAATAAGGATTAGTTGTGGGATTCACTCTACATCGAACTTTAACGATACGTGCCGTTTATTTTGTATGTCTTGATTCATACATCATCCTTGTAAAATTCAATTTAATCTGAAACTACTTGCCTATTTAATTATCATATTGAAATTTCATTGTTTCTTATTGACAAAAGTGTTCGTCAGTTTATTTAAATTCAATTAGATGTCAAAATATTTTCGATTCGGCTAATATTTTACAATGATGATCTAAGATGTTCAACTTGAAAAATAAACAGTTCAGATTGTTAAAGTTTAATATAGTGCAGACTTTACATCTAATCCCCATTTAAAAAAAAAAAAAAATCCTTTCCCTTGAAAACCTCATCCGCATAAATGTCCTGGTGCTATTTGAATTTAACAGGCGTGGGACTTGGTATAAGAGGACAACATGACAATTGGGTGTCTAACCCATCGAACATGCTTTGTTTCCTTATTCCTTAAAAAAAAAGAACAGAATGACATTTTCAACAGAAACTAAGTTTTACATTTAAATTAAACTTTAGCATGTTCCCTAAAATCACTGGAAATTAACACAGCATCAAATGATAGTTCATCTAAAGGCATTAGATATTATGTCTCTCTACTTAAAGCAAATTAAATTGTGAGTAGAGATACTCCCGAAACTTGTAATAATCCTCACATAAGGGGCCTTTGATCGCAATTTGTTGGGTGCCGGAACCACCACCTTGCAAAAGATCAAATTATAAATACGCTGGTTAGACTTTCCATCTACAAAAATGGAACTGTTGCACCAAAAACTTGGGTGCTAATACTATTAGCATATTTGTATCTGACCAGCCTTATGGCTTGCATCCCCAATTTTGCGTAATGTCACATATTCACCGCATCTCAGCGCCCCACCAACAAATTCAACTTGTCAAAGAAATTAGATCAAGATCGTTGTAGCTTAACCTTATCTCTGGGGCTCAAAACATGAAGTTGAATACTTGAGATTACTTCAGATGATGAATTTTGGGGATGAAACATAGTCTAACGAATTAAGCAATGAAAGGAAATGGTACATGGACACCTTTGTCGGAAAGAAGTTGTCTTCAAAGAGTTGTTTATTCTTCTACTTCGATACATTCGAAGGTAAAAACAAAAACACTACTGACACGCCCCGACCCCGATATTCCCCGAATACCAGGGTAGGCACGTGCTGGCCGACACCCGAGGGTGACGAAAGCCATTTATTGAGTGCAAATGCTGAAAATAAAGGATAAATAAGGTTTATAAATATAAAAGAATAATGAATACGCAAATAAGGACCGTGTTCAGAGCACACCACTAATCTAGAACACTAAAAGAAAAAAATATAAAATTGAATGAAACGAAGGAGTGGGTCCTACACCGAGAGGGCTCGAAGATGCCGATGCGAAAGTGCCTGGACGTCGGGATTGTATGCCTCGATTCTAAGTCCTGAAGGAGGCGCAAAACAAACATGAGTGGACCAAGTTGATATATATATATATATTAAAACAGTTATCAACATACTAACCCCCAGGTTTTATGAAAACACATATATATAATGATAAACATAGGTTTTCCGAAACCTAGCATGTCGTGCAATGTCTCAAATCATAATTCGCATAAATAATAAACACTAGTGAATGTCCGATATAACACTTCAGGCCCCATGCCGGCTCCCCGTCTCTGAGCACACAGTCAGAGGAAAATACACTTCAGGCCCCTTGCCGGCTCCCCGTCTCTGAGCAGACAGTCAGAGGAAAACACACTCCAGGCCCTATGCCAACACCAAACCGTCGCCCGGGACGGACCGGATCTATCCCTACGTCCCGTAGCGGAAAGGACCACTAGGTAAGTACAAAACCAGTGAACATACATATATTGAAAATCAACTTCATAGCATAAAGTCATCCATCATCTATACTATAAAGAGGTGTTCTAAACATGTTCTAAATATCATATCGTCATCCATCAGATATTCTACAAGAACATGGGTTATAGGAAAAATAGTAATAATTCAAACTAGCCTCAGTAAGCATGTTATCTCGTAAAACGTTTCATAAAACATAATCATCAAAACATGCTTTTCTGTGTATGCAATTCTACCATTAAAACATGCATTTTTAGAAGGGGTCCACTCACAGTACTTCGCCGTCGAAAAGCCACGTCATCTAGCGAAGAAGGAAACGCCATCGATAATTGCCCCTAAACACATAAACGGTACATTTAGTCAAACTCTACTCAAACGATTGAATTTGGGAAAACGGACATCGGAAACGGGTTCAGGACGTCGAAATTAGCCTAGGAGGGGTCCCGCACGAAAACCCAAAAAGTCAACCCCCGAGGTCAAAGTCAACGGTCAAAGTCAAAGTTGACCGTTGACTGGTCAACGCTGACCGTTGACCCGGTCAACGGGTCAAGGTCAACGGGTCGTGGGTCAACCCGTCAGAGTCAACCCGGTTTAGGGTTTGGGTAATGGATCCGGGTTTGGGCCTAAGGGTTTGGGTTAGGGTAATTGGGTTAGGGTTTTGGGTTAGGTTTGTAAGTGGGTTGGGTTTGGGTAAAAAGGAAAATGGGTTTGGGTTTTGGGCTAACAGAAAATGGGTTTGGGCTGCAACAAAGGCCCTAAGGCCTTTGGGTTTGGTGGTCGCCGGATTCCAAGGAGGGGGAAGGCCGGATTTCGGCCGGAGAATTCCCAAGCTCCGTTGGAGCTCAAAACTCAACCAAAACATGTCATTCAATATACCAAATTGAAGCCCCGAAGGTAAGGAATCGAAATATACCCTTGGTTCCCGTCATTGTGGCCGGAGTTGGCCGGAAAACAGCTTGGAAGCCACGGGTGTCCGCCGGAAACTGGGTAAGATTCAAATGAGCATAACTTCTTCAATACTCAATGAAATTAGATGAAACAAAAAGGAAAGTTGTAGTACTCAGTGAGACGAAGAGATTGATACCTCGCACGCCGGCCAACTCGCCGTGGTTTGGCCGGAAATCGCCTCGAAAGGGGCGGTGCTCGCGGGAAAACTGAGAAATGTCTCCCGAGGTGGTTTCTTCGTGGTTTGACGTCCCAAAACACATCCACGGGGTTAGAAAAGAGTTATAGGCGTGGGCATGGGTGTGTGTGTGTGTGTGTGTGTGTGGGTGTGTTCTTGTCGGACCGAGAGGGGGGGGGGGAAGGAGAGAGCATGGAGGAAGAAAGAGAGAAGAGAGAAGAGACTTTTCAAAAAAAAGAAAAGGGAAAGGGAAAAACCGGGGAACAAAAACAGGGGGTGGGCCCCTTGGGCTCACCAATTAAGGTTCAAAAACAATTTTAAAAAGAAAGGTATCCCCCAAACTTAGTGAAAATACAAAAATACCCATTTTCTTACGTAAATTCCGGGACGGGTTGTTACAATATCGTGCTAGGTGGTGGAGAGGGCCCGGGAAGTGGTCCCACCCGGGCCGGGATGTGACATTTGGTATCAGAGCCTAACCCTGGTCGTGATGTGCCGACGAGGACGTCGGGCCCCTAAGGGGGGTGAATTGTGACATCCCACATCGCCCAGGGGTGATCCTTAAATGTATATTCCCATCCTACCTAGCACGAGGCCTTTTGGGAGCTCACTGGCTTCAGGTTCCATAGGAACTCCGAAGTTAAGCGAGTAGCGCACGAGAGCACTCCCAGGATGGGTGACCCATCGGGAAGTTCTCGTGTGAGTTCCCAGAAACAAAACCGTGAGGGCGTGGTCGGGGCCCAAAGCGGACAATATCGTGCTAGGTGGTGGAGAGGGCCCGGGAAGTGGTCCCACCCGGGCCGGGATGTGACAACTACTCCACCGAGTTTGTTCAGACCACAGTAACTTGGATTTCGAATTGGTCATCAGCCAAGTTGTGACGCCTAGATTAAAGGAGGGTTGTACCTATGTAGTCATTCCCATCGATTCTCAAATGCTCCTTGCTCCTAGGCAATCTCTAAATACAGAAGATGTCTTCCAAGATTTGAAAGTTATAAGCTAAAAAGTAGCAAATACAGATCACTCTCAAATCACTTACTAAATATTGAAGTTATAAAATCTGTCTTGAATCACACTAGTAAACTAAAAATCCAAATTTTCGAAATTACATAATCATATGTTAATAGATTTAACGGTTGAACATGCGTCAAAAAATTAGTACATAATTCTCACACGTATTAAATTCGAGGGATTATGTGGGCTTGCAATGGATTCTTCATCACCATGGTGAACTCCTGCTTCTCTGACAAGTCCACGTCATCTCCCTCCACAGCTCTCCACTCAAATTTCCACACCAAATTCGCCAAAAAGTACTCCAGATGAAGCACCGCCAATCCCGACCCAGGACAGATCCTCCTCCCTGCCCCAAACGGCATCATCTTAATCTCCCTGCTCCCCGTCAAATCGAACCCTTCCTCTCCTCCACCGCTGCCCAAGAACCTCTCCGGCTTGAACGCCATGGGATCCT